TATAAAATTAACAAGAAACCTTAAAAGTTGGACTGAGAAAGAGAGAGATTCATTAGTATGTATTGAAGTGTTTATATCTAGCTAAAATGTTTGATATTAGCTCTTGAGACAGGAAAAAAAGCATTTGTTTGATGATGCCAAGAGTTACATCATGGAGTCTTGTAGTTGTGGATAGGATGATAATTTATACCACATGATGTGGGTGCTCTATTTTGGATATACCACATGGTCATTTATTGTATCATATCCAACATGCATAACTTGTATCAATAGTTTTGGTAGAAGAATTGAATGATTCTGTGATAAGTGCATTTTGGATTAAAGTATAGATATTCTTCAATAATTGAATCTGTATAATGTGTATTGATGATCTATGACGGGGAAAAATTATATTTCTAATAAGGTTAGTACCTTTTTTCCTCATTTCTTTATGTACACAGACATGCATGTAGGTAAAATAACAATAAGAATTATAACAACAGACTTATATGGGATACAGATTGCCTTTTGGCTTTATTAACAACATAGAAAAAAAAGACGTAGGAAAAAAAGCCATGGAAAGTCACACTTGTTCCTACAAACATGGGATTTCTTTTCATTTTTTTCGGCTGAGCTCTTGGAAAGCAAGAAGGAAAATATTTGTAGACATTTTGTCTGCTTTCTTGATTTGGTGAGACATTGTTGTAAGGTTTCTTAGCTCTAGTGTTTGACAATAATTTGCAGGAGAGATAGTTTCTTTTTTGAACTTTTTTTTTTTAATATTTACATTATTGCTTTATATTTGTTAGATTGACACTGTAGTGCAAACAAGTTCTTTATGGTAAATGTTGTGAAAATTTAAATTAGAGATTAGAAATATTTCAGCACTGTCTCAACTTAGATTTAAGTCTCTAAGAGCAGTCCTAGATAATAAACAAACTATATTGTAATACTGCCTGGCATTAGTGACTTATTAAGAGTCAGGTTTTCCTGCACATTGATACAGTCTTGACTTAGTCTACACTTTTTGCTATGTTGTATTGTTGAACTTAGTGTGGGTGGGTTGAATAAACAACTACAAAATTACTGTGCAAAAAAATTGTGATAAAAAAATTCGAACATCTTATTTTCAACTGGAGAAAGTTATGGTTTTACATTAGAGAAAAAAGTTTAGAGGTAAATTCAGTTACTGAACATGTTAAATAGTGAGAGAAAAAGGGTATTGATTTATCTGCATTGCTCAAGTGTCCCAGGATAGTAATGTTACTGACGTTGGCACAAATGTTGCCACATTTGAGCAGGATATCTTTATAAAAACATGTCATCTTGGTTTTAATATTAGATGTCTTAACAGAGACATGCTGTCATTTTTTTGAGAGTGAGGAAAGATGAAAAAGGAAGGGAAAAAAACAACAGGACAAAAAAAAACTGTATTGAAGTTAGTTTGTATTTCTGGTGTAGTATTTAAGTTAGTTTGCATTTCCAGTGTTGGCTGGCCTGGCTCTACTGGTGCCAAAGGCTTGTCACTTTCACTTTCAGCAGGAAAACGGTTTGAGTAGCCATTTCAGCAATCAAGTCAAAAATGGCCGAGTGGTTAATGCTTCAGACTAGTAATCTATGGATCACAAGCTGTGCGGGTTCAAAACCCCATTACCAAGCTGCAGACTTCCCGAAATACGTCGGTCCGACGGACATGTCCGATAAAATTTGATCAGGTCCGACAATTTTTTATTCCGGATCGGTCCGACTGTCCGGCTTTTATCCAAGCCGCATGTATACAAAATGGCGTCGCTAAAGGTGCCAAACCTTGGAAAAACCGAAAATCTACGTCAGAAGAGTGCACAGAAAAGCAATAAAATGATGAAAATATTAGACCTGAGACAAAATTTAATGAAAAATGAAAGCAGAGCCATGAATCATTGGTGTATGACAGGGAGGAGATGAAAATGCGCTGTACGGATTGTGCCGATTTTTACGGCGAAAAAATAAAAAACAAAAAGTGTCTTAGAAATATAAACACAAGTTTTTCTTTGATTTTGATCAATTTTATTTGGTCCGACAGATTTTGTTTCGGTCCGACAGATTTTCATGGTTTGTCAGACCGAATGTCTGACAGTTTTTTTCAACTTTCGGGAAGTCTGAAGCTGTTGTTTACTTGAGCAAGAAACTTTACACTTATTATTCAGTACTGGTTGGTTCCAGGAACTGATTCGAAAGTGTGTGTTTAAGCTTATAGCTTCATACACATTCAAAGTAAAATAAATTCTGTATAAACCCTGTCAGATCTTTATTGTGTTTCAGTAATAATTTTTTTATACAAATAAGTTAAACTGAGCCAGTATATACAAAGTATCACAGTGTAATATGGAAACTTTTAGTCTATTTAACTGTATTGACATTACACTATTTATTCTATATTGAACTAAGACAACATATACATTGTAAATAATGACTGAACAAATTATACAGTGATCTTTGTAGACTAAATGGCTTTCTATTTCTCTTTGTTTGACATTGTTTGAGAAACATAAAAGAGATTGCAAATAGTATGAATAATTAATCAAGTTTAACAAGCCGAATACCAGCTGGTAAAGTCTGACCTAATACATGTAACTGTTTACATATTGATCGGAAAATGTAAAGGTATTTTCAAAATTTTATCCATAGAATGGATTTAATCTTTACAATATTAAGATAAGAGTAGACAAAATGTATATATAAAATCTACAGGGTATTATAGAACAGACTGTGTTTACATAGTTTAATTGTAGCTATATCTGAAATCTAAGATATATATGTTTAAATACTGCCATTATTGTATTTTATAGCCCGTGTTCAAAGTTCATATAGGCGTAAAACATTTTCATTTCTTCGACCAAGACAGCTTTATGTTTTCAGGGAAGTTTATTAATGGATTGTCTTATTTTAAACCTTCTACACAACATGGGACATTGTTTCATGAGGATTTACGGTATAGTTCAAACATATATCAATTACAAAATGTGAAAATGATAAAGTTAAGGACAACAATAGCACCTCTAAAGTATTTAATCTTTATTAAAAGTTCATTAATTTTAGTCTTAAGATTGAAAGGTTAGGAAGTTAAATTTAAGTTGGAAATTTGATATTGTCCCCATCATAAAATGGAATTCATGATCTTTTATTTCATTACCATTTAGCCCAATCGCTGTGACCTTTTAAATTACTTATTAGATATAATTATTCTGCAGTGTAAAAAGGTTACAAGAAGTCTGTAACTTGTAAATGTATATAATATATATTTTGAATATATTTTTCTGAATTGTCTTTTTGATTGCAGTGTCGGCTAGCTCTAACAGGGTTGTTATTCTCTGTTTTTATTGAGCTAAATCCAATCATTCAAATTATGCTCTTTCAAGATCTAAGAATTTCTGTAGCAAAAAAAATTAAATTTTAATATGGTTTTGATAAAAGATACAAACTTTTCTATCTCTTGAACAATATCCAGGGCAATCTTGCAATTTTAGCTCAGTAAAATTAACAAAAAGATTCTGTTTGTTACCAAATATGATAGACTGATTCTGTTTGGTACCAAATATGATAGACTATGATATTATTTCAAGTACAAACTGTATTTTCGTATATACTAAATTATATTTTTTGAAATCTGTTGAACCAAAAGCCTGCTGACGGCTACAGAATCTTCCAATGCAACCAATGTAGACCAAGTTCATCTGGCAGATATCCGGCACATCTGTGCCAGCTGATCATAGTCTGCACAGTTTGCTTTTCAGTATATATTTTGAAATTTTCCCTTAAAATGAAGATTGGTTTATGCCCGGATTGAAAGATGGACAAGTCCACTTAAGGGTGGTACAGAGTAATTATCTTTTGATTTTAAGTAGGATCTAATTATTACCTTAATTTTTTTTAGGTAAACAAAGGTATAACTTGGCATTCACTTCTATGTATTGTAGCAAACTGGATTACTAGTAATTGTAGCAGTAACATGTGGCAATTCAATTTGCATTGCAACATTGCTTTAATTGTAATAGCTCTAACCAATCAATGAAAGTGTACATAATGAGAAGTATTGGGTTTTTCGGGATATGACAGAGTTTTAATCTTCACTGCTCTATGTCTGTCTGTTTAAATATTTATTTTTTCCCCTGTGCATTCAGGAAAATTTTTTTATTTGAACATAGATATTTTTGAGTGTTAGATGTTTCCATGCCTTAGGGATTTCTTTGTTGGATTATTTCAGTTTTGAGATGAATTCTCTCTTGGGTGAGAAAGTGAAGTTTTGAACTGTTTAGACTGTTAGGAATATGGATTTTTCTGAAATGGAAATTGATTGAGCAATTTTCTTTCTTTAGATTTTTTTTTTAATTTTTTTTTTTTTTTTTTTATTTATAAGGTGGCTTTATTTCTGTTGTAAAAAATATAATACAGCTTTCATCTGTTTACTTTGTTGAGAACTATTGTATTTGAAGTGAACATATTTGATTTATAATTGTATAGTAAGAAGTTATATAACTCATCAAAATTTATTATAAATTACCTTTTTTATGAGCAATATTGCGTCACATACAAATTGAAAGTTTTTAAGTTTGAACGTGAAAAGAAAAGGTTAACGTTCTTAACAAATAAAACCAGTCATTTTGTATCTTTTTGTCATTGTATTGTATTATGAAAGTGATGTAAAGGTTTTCATCAATTGATATAAAAGGAAATCCACTCGGGACGGACCGAGTGAAAATCAATTTAAGGAAATTAAAAACATGAACATGGATGAGTTGGTTTATAGATTGAATTAAATCTACTGACAATCTTAGCTGCTGTAGAACCAGGAAGAAACACTTAATAAAACTACAGGATTTAATGAGAAACATTTCATAATAAAACCCGCTATGTCTTAATGTGTGAATAAACATAAATGATACAAACTTATACAGGATTTGTTTGAAATTTGCTGTCTGTTAGCGTTTGACATGCACAGTGGATTTATCATTGTATAAAACGGTGACGTTGTTTATTTTCAGAGTAACAATATTGTGTTGACTGCTGATAAGCCGATTGGCGGGGGAGGTGGATGTTTAGAGGGTGGACCACGTCCACGACCAGCAGCTAGAGAAGGTATCTCCATATGTTGTTGTTGTTGTTTTGGTGATTAAAGAAGAAAAAGCAGTACAGACTTTTTCATTTTTCATCTGTCAAAAATATCTATGTTATCTGTGATTTATCTGTTCAATATTTCATCATATTTGATATTTTCTTCTGGTTTCCTATGTAAATAGTGGATTTCCTCCTCGCAAACTGATCAAAATTGATAGCTTGATGGGGATATATTCACTTTATATATATAGAAAAAAACAAAACATTTAACAGGAGGTCAAGTTTAGTACAGGCTCAGCAGTATAAATTTTGGATTAAAATTGAAATATATTGTTATTGAAGGAATTTTCATATTTTTTATATATTATAAGTAAGACTTACAAATGTGTAAAACAGTGTATTTTAATGATATCATAATTTATAATGTACTAGCCCGATAACAAGGAAGTTTTGTGTGAGTATAAAGATATAACATAGATACAGACAGCGTAGTAATATATGTTGAAAATCTGTTTAAACAATACAAGGAAAATTTTATATCCTTGTTTTTGGGGTGAATTCACTTCATTATTTTTAGATTTGGATGTTAGAACAAATTTTACATTTCTTAACTGTCAATGTTTTGTCATTTTTGGGAGTGTTTAAAATCTGGATGATGTGAATATTTTGATATACATATTTGTAAGAAGTTAATGTTGATCACAGTTTTCCATGAAATCTGTTATAACGTAACATTAGGCCAACATTTTTTTATTAAATGTTTTACGGGACATTTTTTTAAAACATTGGGTCGGGGGGATAAATAAAAATAAAAATAAAATTCATTTTTTTTATCAGTCGACCACAAAATAAAAATAAAATGAAAAAAAAAAGGTTAAAATTTTTTATTTTCAAACATATTTTTAAGATTCCAAAAACAGATTTTTTGTTCATAAAATCAATGATTTTATAGTTTTGAAGTATTTTTGACATAATTTTAAACAAAATAATTGAAAAAAATGCTTTAAGTCACTTTTGCTTTTGTTTTTAGTAGCTATTTAATGCTGATCTAGTTTCTATTAGTTTTGTCTTTTCACATTTAGGGCAAACATGCAACACAACTCCAAATTCATTGTTTAGTCCCTTCATTTAAAGAGTATCCAAACAAGGTCGTATTGCCACTCTCAAGCTTTACTGACACAAGCTTGCAACCAGGTAGAACCACCAACCTATTATAAGCTTACTGATAGTTTCCTCATGGGAATCCAAATTAACTTCCTGACAGGATTCTTATCGACAACACCACACAGGGAGAGTGATCCATTCACAGAGGTACAAACATAATAATGTACAATGTCAGTTTCACAAAGTAAATTGAATCAACAACTTCAAATTATCTTTAAGAGAGTAAGTTCTGTAAGTGCAAAAAAATTTGCAATTTCTGAAAATTATTCGTATTTCAAATGATTAGTAAAATGAGAGCAATTGACAGTAAATAGAAAATCAAATGGCATACATTGTTACAAAATCAGAGTTTTCTGCTGAGAATTTATTATACCTAGGCAGTTTTTACAGAAATGTCAAAGAGGACTTATGCTCATAATCTTACATTGAAAAAAGACCAATTTTCTCAATATTGATCTAGTAAAAAAACTTCTAAAAATACACATAATTACTACCTGTCATGATATAATATTAACTTAATAAATGTTATAGATGACTGTGTTCAATTATAAAAAAAGCCTTTTATTTCAACAAGACAACAACAAAAATCTGTCCACCAAACAACTTTCAGGAATTTATTTTCGTATAATAAATTAATGACTTGTTTTCAAAGATTCATAATAAAAAGTTTTCACTATCAATTTGCTTACAATAAATCTACAATGTAAGTAGAACTCATTTGTTACTCGTTTTTCTCAATCTGTCTAAGTAAATTTAACTTATATTTCTTTATAAAACCTATACATGACTCTTAATTTTAATGTATGGAAGTATTCTCATGGTCAGTGGTAAATCGAGTTATATTTCATTTTGACACCAAAGTCGATCAACGGCTTTGATCCCGTGCCCATTTAATTTTTTACAACTGTTCTGACAATGAAGGTAATTCAAATCAACTTATGCAATGGATGTTAATTACCAGTCGTGCTTTCTAACAGCTTTACAGGCTATCATGTTTGATTAAATGCTCTAATATTTATTACTCAAATAGCCATAGTTGTATTGTAAACAAGTTTCGAAAAAGCGAACTTCCGTGACCCGGTGTTGCGTGATATTCACACGTGTAAATTTATTACAAGCTTGTAAAGTTATTGCCCTTCCCTTTTGTTACGCCTTTTGTAACATTCTTGTAAACATCAAAGGGCCTAACTTTTGTCAGTTATTTTAAGCAAGTTCCGAGGTTCTACTGTTAAGTATCGTTAACAACTAAAGTGAAAAATGTGTTCCATACCAAGTAACTTTTAATTTTGACAGCAGTGGGTCAGAGAGGTCGGCGGGCAAAATGAAAATAAAAGTTCTTAAATTAACTTTTATTTTTATTTGATTTTCTCTAAAAATACGGTCGGCGGTCCCGTAAAACATTTTATAAAAAAATGTTGGCCTTATGGTGAAATTATAATTTGAAAATTTCACTGCTACATTTTTCAAAGTATTTTCAATTCACTTGTACAGTTCAGCAATATATTTTTTAAATGCATGTAAAATGTGATAGATTATGGTTTTTATATGCGGGTTATTCATTATTATACAATTATTGACTAGTGAGCCATTGAATATGATGTGATATTCACCGGCAGATGACATATTGACCGAGGCGATAGCCGAGGTCAATATGACTTTCTGCCGGTGATATCACATCATATTCAATGGCTCACTAGTCAATAATTGTTTTATTATATGAATAGGCTAAGAAATAAAAAAAAAATCACAAAAAGTACAACCTTATATACATGTACAAATTTTGCCTCGTTGAAGCGCGGGAAAAAAGACGCACGTGTTAGGCGTGCAACGATTTCGCGAACGCTGCGCATACAAAAGTAATTCAAGTTTATACTCAACATTGCGATGTAGCCTTTAAGTAAAATGGTAATGTATTGATATTTTAATCGTGAAATATGCCATAAAGAACAAAAAGCAACACTTATTTTTTAAGTAACACACGTATTTAACAGTCGATGGTGAATGATCATTGAATATGAGTCTCAATCTATTTATAGACTGGGAAAATCCAATTCAGCCAGTGAATATGATATTACACCCAGTAAATATGATTTTATAAAAAGTTCTGTTGACTACTGTTTGGACCAATGAGATTGCAGATATATTTAGATCATATAATAATATTTGTTATTTTCAATTTCAGAACAAGCTGGTCTGACGACATCACGTACACCGATCATCATTCCAATTAAAGGTGGCAATAACAAAATGACTCTGTCCACTGCCGAGATACCACTGCCATCTCACTCTGATATTCCCTTGCCAGAGGCTGGGGATATACCCCTCCCATCAGCTGATATGGTAAATATACCCCTGCCCAGTGGTATTCTGCCATCAAGTAAACATGAAGATATACCTTTGCCATCGAATGATAGCATTCCATTGCCTGCTGAAAGGGTATGTGCTTGTGTTTGTACTTGCTTTGGTTCCATATGATGTCCTTTGGGTCCAATGAATTTTGTCTTTTGAAACAAGAGAAAATGCAGTTATTTTGATTGTAACAGTATTTCAGAAGTGCAGTAACAGTATGGGAGAAGTGAATTCCATTTGATCTCCTGAAGAAAAGTTTTTGTTTTTTTCCCAACAAAATTGTGTTTTTGTCATGTATAGCTTATACATAAATATTGTTAATGTGCTTGATAATAATGAAAATTCAAGTCATTGATATATATTGAGACACAAGGGTAAGGCAACTTTAGATATAGAACAATCTTTGTCTCTTTAAAATGATATTAAACATACAGGCATGTTGAGATACTGCTAAAAAAATCTTTGATTGTATCTCACTCCTTATGTCTAGATGATGAAATCTTGTATAGATCTAGAGGTAATGTACAAGTTATAATGGTAAACCGCAGCCAGGTTATCTCCTTACATTTATCCATGTTAATAATACCCATGTTAATATTATCCACGCTGCTATCTGGTAACATCTGTATGTGTCAGGAGGTACATACACCTCATACATTTACATTGTTCAATCTATTTTACACTGAGCAGATTATTGTATTTTTTTGTAAGCTGAATAATTCTGATCCTTAAAAGTGAGAAAAAACATCAAAGGCAAAAAACACAACAAAAACAACAGAAATTTATAAAACAACACTAAAAAACACAAAGAACAACAAAAAACATCGATAAAACAACACTATTTGACTAAATAATATTCTGTATTGCAAAATATGCATGTTTTTCTTTACATTAAATTACCTTGTGTTATTACATTTTGTCATGATATATATTGGATTACAAAATTAATGCTATAAATTGTGTGTATATTTGATTGATTATTTTTTACATTTAGAAAAAATTATATACCCTTGGCATATAAGTATACTAAAATTCTATATCCAGATTTCTCTTGATTACAGTAATTTCTCTGGCTGGACATTCAGTCCATATCACTGTGGTGATTTTCCATGAATATTCTTCCCTGTCTACTCTTATTGAATATGCCACAGTTGAGTACAAATGATTCAGTAAGAATTGAATTATCAAGCTGTAACAATAGGATTGTATATATGATTAATGATTGTCTTCCAAGGCTATCGTTCTAATATGACCATTGGGTCAATATTTATCACTTTGGTATATTTAGTTAAGAATCGCCTCTTCCTTAACACTTGACCATGCTATGTTAGTGTGGATTTGGCCTGTTTAACAGTTTACAACCTTGGAAGATTCCATTGGTGGTTTAATAAGTATTTAGATATCAAAAAAATTGAAATTGAATTTCTGAAAGTAAAGTATGTTCAGATATCACAGAATTTCAGACTAGCCTTGTCACTGTTTTTTGCCGCTCTAAAGGTCATTTAATAATATTTTTGCTTTACATAACATGCAGTAAATTTATTTTTCACCCGAATGCAAAATTGGTTATTGAAAATATTATTTTTTAAAAGAAATGGAAGTATATAAAAAGATTAATTTTCCTTCGGGGGGTAAAAAATAAAGAAAACTCTTTAATATGAAATATTGGAAGTAATTTTTATCTACAATAATCCATGTACATGTGTTAAAAGATATGGCACAAAGTAAACAAATTACTGAAATGTCCTGTTATAGAAAGTCTGTATTTATGGTTTAAATTATGTATTTAGGAGTAAATTTTATCCGTTGTTCAGTTTTAATTAAGAAGAGAAATGAGTTTAAACATCACAAACTCTGGAGAGAGTTATTTTTTGTCAGAGTATATTGTAGGGAGATATTTTGCCCCTGTATAAATAGGCTGGCTGACACCTTATTCCCACAGCTCACTATCTTGATTCATTCACAGACCAATTTTTGCCAACAGCTTGTCTTAAAGACTCGGCACAATTAAGAATTAATTCTTCTCAGTTAACAGAATTTTCTTTTTTGAGAAATTGGCAAGAAAGGAAAATTGGCAGATTTATTTCCAGCAGCCAAAAGTGAGTGTGTAGCTGTAATGATCTTGGTTCTTAGACTATATATGTTTTGATTTATTTATAGATATGAGACCGGCATTCTTTTCTGGTTATATATGAAGTCATTCATGTCACAAACTAGTGAGATATTGCTCTGTAATCTAATATTTTGGTTAAAAAAATTGTATGTGATTGCCCTCTTTACATTGATATATATGCATTATGTCATAAAGGGGGCACCTGTCTGTAAAATATTGGAATAATCTATTGTAGGTTTATTTAAAATTTAGGAATATTTGCCTCACAGTGAACTCATTTTTGAAGATAATCTATTTTTTACAATAACAAGAATAGAAGAATAGAAACAAATCCAATAACCTTATAAATTTTGAGAATATACTTAAATGAACTGTTGTTGAATTTTCTCATGTCTGACATACTGTTACAGATTAAAATACTGCATCTTAAAGGAAGAGAGAGAATTTTTTTTACACGATGTGGCGTGTTTTCAATGTAATATAAGCATTATATGTATCTTGATATTATTAATAGTATAAAATTGATTTATCAATGAGGATTTGCATTTATTCAGTGTTTTCTGGCATTATGGGCATTATGATATCATATGATAACCAGGAATCTTACATGCGTTGTCATTTACATTTTGTAATAAAGACTTTTATAAAGATAGTCTCAGAAGTGTTATAAAGTTCTCAGCTGACTTTTTGTCTAACACAGTCATAGACTCATTTAATGCAAGTCTGTATGTAATGACACCTCATGCAAGATGCTAGAATGTAAAGACACCTCATGCAAGATGTATACATTTATGTAATGACACATCATAAAATATACTAAATAGAGAACTGAGAATTTTTTTTATAGACCATCATTGTTAAATAAGTATCACATTAAATTATGCAGACTTGGTAACATTACTGGAGAACATAACTGACATACAGAAAACCTGTATTTGTTCTCCAACCTAATAAATTATTTTTGTTTTGAATCACACCTTGCCAGCCATTCACTAAAATAATTTCAGATCAGCTAAAAATTTGCTTGACATATTAGTTGGTCATGCAATATTCAGGAAGATTGCATATGTCTTGGCATTGTAATGTTCAAAAGTTTATTTAAAAAATTGTAAGCTACGTGAATTAGGTACAATTTTTGCAATGGTACCTAAATCATTGTTTATTAAGATCTTTTTCAAAAAATAATAAGTATGAACAGTGTTTCAGTGATTCTGTAATTTGATATTTTTGAAAACTTGTCAAAACGAATCTGTTTTCTATCTGTTATATTAATGTTATTGTGAGGCCAGATATTGTATGATTGAGGTTCTATTTTTGCTCATCTTTTCTCATTTATATGATCAGATATAAATATGGAATGCATTGCAGGAAAATGAAATTTGCTGAAGTGCTTCAAATAAATTGATGAGACTATTCATAAAATGACAGGCAATGTTTTGTCAGGAAATTGAAATCTGAATGGGTCTTCAGATAACATCAATGTCATATATATTTTTTTTCTCTCCGTATTTCCTTGTGATTTAAAGTTTGTTACAGGACCATATATATGTGTTGTTTTTTAGCGACCAGTACATTCTGATTAGAACTTGTTTTTATTTTTTTAGCAAGCTGTGCAGCAGACGGAGAGAAAGCGTATTAAGGTGTCGTTATCTCATTTGGAGCCGAAGGGCGATGAATTGTTGTGTCGGTCATGTGTGATGAGGTTTGCGAAGCAGATAGATTACGACACGCACCTACAATCCGACGCTCACCAACAGGTATGGTATATGCCCCAAGATCTGTTGTTCACTTATTCAGGATATTACTTACTTTTCTTCAAATGAGTTTTTATAAATATTTTTTTAATCGCAGATATGTATTTTTTAATCAAATAGAATAATTTGATTTGAGATTATGATTGAAATTTGAGTTTGTTTTTTTTTATCCCGCTAAAAGTATCAAATTCAGAAGACTTTGACCAAATTTTTGACTTAAGTTGTTGACTCTTTGTAAAAGATTTGTATTTAACAGGCTAGAAAATATTGTTTGCATCTTTGCTGTAAAATTATTTTTTATTATGAAAAGTTTGATTGCAATTGAATTATTAAGATAAAAAGAGAAATTAAGAAAAAACAAGATTACCTGTTTTGGCTTCAGAGAACTTTTAGAAGTTATTTTCTGCATCCTCAAAACATTTTTTGTTTTCTTTTTTGTCATTGATAATTAAACATGTAAAAGAATTAGGCTGTATACTTTTGAAGTCCAAATGTTTTCACTTCCTTTACAAGTTATATATTTCATATAAGATCATTGCCTCATAGTCGTTGCTCCAAACACATTGGCTGATAGAATATAGTCGTTTTTATTTATATATAACTTCAAATTTATCTAGTCATCTTCAAAAACATTAAATAATAAGTATAACTTTTGATCAAACGTTTACACTTTGTATTTTGAACATCAGAGCTTTGACTCTCGCAAATTCTAAAAAAATGGAGATTACATTATTTAGCTTTTGAAATATTGTATAAAAATAAGAAATTTGAAAAAAATCAAAAACAAGATTAGGATAGGGGATTAATTTATAAAATTGAGAGGGATGTATTCTTGACGTTTTTATTTGTTTGGAGCGTCATCTGTTCATGTCATCGTAATTCTTTTGGAAGGAAAATGTTTATTATGTTGACTTTACTAGAATGTCATTATTTTGCTTTTCGCCTTGTTGAAACATTGAAAATTTGCATAGAACAAGATAAAACTCTAAAACTTAGATGAAAAATGATATTGTATTAGTGCCAATTGCTTCGATTTGTTGATTATTTTTTCTTTCCATTGAATATGGTGGGATTTTAAAGGGTTTTTTTTTTTTTTACAAGAGAAATGAAAGTTTAGCGAACAAAAAAGAAAAAAAAAGAGAAAAAAATCCAGTATTGTTATAAAGTCATGTACACTGTACTGTACAGTATATTTGGTAATACAGATTATATATTGGAATACATTGAACCATACAAAATGCTTAATCTTTATCAGGTTTTTTGATGGATATATCGAAGGTAAGACTGCTTGAACATTGTTAAAACCCTGCAGAATCAGCGGAGGAAATCTTTTATTATAAAACATATCTTGATACATTTATCATCAATGTCATGTCATCATTTATCATTATGTTTTGTAATATAAATAGATTCTCTAGTGGGTATATACCATTCACTCTTCACAAAGTTTTTTTTTTTTCTTGGTTAAACTGACGATTAAAACTGAAAATAAAGTAATAACGTAAAAAAACAAAAAAACAGTTATGATACAAGTTGAAATAACACCCATATAAAGGAAAGAAATTCCCTATCTGCTAGCAGACTTCAGCCATTGTTTGGAGAATATTTTAGATGGTTTTAATAAGTTAATGGGTTTTTGAAAACACGGGGGCGTTTAAAGAATATAGATTTATCATTACTGTAAGGCATTTAGTTGATTATGAAATGGAAAAAAGAAAAATGGATGAAGCTCTGTTAAGCAAATAGTGTATAAAAGCAGGTAAAAACCCCAAAAAGACCAGGTTTGTATACATGCATTGATAAATCTAGCACTGTATTTTATTACTGATATATTCATATTAAATTAGTTCTGAATTTCATTATGTTCATATTACATCATCATTATCATCAATCAGGACTTTACAGTCATCATCATCATCATCATCTTTATTGTCATCTGTATGGGTGACATGTCCATTGGAATATCCATATAACATTTTTCAGTGTACATGTCTCTGTAAATTGAATGTCCGTAACAAATTTGACATTTTTTTTTTCCTCTTTCTCTCAAATTTATAACTTCATGAAATTTAGGCCGTTGTTGGTTTTAATCAGTTACTCTTTCAAGTGTAGTTTTGTTGCGAGCTTCTTCAATTTAGTGAAGTTTTTTAGGCTGATACATCATTGCAAATATGTATTGAAACTCCTGCAAGTATTACATATTTTTTGTGAAGTTAAAAGACATGTTTTTTATGTGTTTATTTGTGTGTTTTTGTCATGCTGAATTGATATGTGTCTTTTCTGTTATTTGGTATTACTGGCATAGATGTAGGCAACAAAAGCAGCAATGTATTATATATATTTACCTTACGAAACCTTACTATACTTCTTTATTGCAACCCTCCTGATAGTATTTTACACTTTGATATTCACTTTAACCTCTTTCTTTATTGAACTTTTCTAACTTGTGTTTGGCAAAAATGTATTGTGATTTTTAATTTTTTTATTTTTTTTTTGAAAAGTACAAAACCCATTTGAAGTAATTGTTGCGAATTGGGCGGTAATTTGTTATTTAATGTTAAAAGATGAAAGATAGAGTTGCATTGAATCCTTAACTAGTTAAATCCTGCTGCATTAATCTCTGCCATTATTTATATTCTAGAGTTTAAACCTCAGAGCAGAGCTACATTGTAGTTATTTATATATATTTATATATTTTATATATATATTAAAATTGTTAGGCTTTTAATATTTATTATGATAATATCAAAATTATTGATAAGATGACAATTTTCATATAGCTTTTTAAGTAAAACATTGCTTTTAGCAGACACTGCAGTTTGTAACGTACTTAGACGATATAATGTTTATGTTCTCAAGTTCAATGTTTTAGAAAACTGTTTTTGTTGTGGGTTATTCTCACATTGTATTTTGCTTATATTTTATATCCTCATAACACGTGTATTTGCGATTATCACTTGTGCGTATGCAGCAACAGGAAGTGTTAATCTTGCCCCATAGTGCACCTGTAGCATGATTTTTCAATACTAAACCTTGGTGGATACGTGCAAGTTACACATAACACTTTACCCTTTCTTTTTTTTATTGCATTATATGAAAGTTACCAAAAAATATGAAAAGAAAACAAACAAAAAATTGTAACTTGTAAAGTGACTGGGCTAAATTGGTGACGGTTTTAATGGTTTAGGGAATTTTTAATAGCATACTGAAATAAAACAACATATTAAACCATGTAATATAAAGTTGCTTTTGGAAGTACTTGTATAATTATCTTTTTATCATTATAAAGGCTTGATAAATTCTCAAATATATGAAAAATGAGATTACTATCATTAGATATTGGGGGCAGACAAAATTTGTAGACTTGCGATATTGCAACTTAAGTAACGCCATTTGGCTGAGACGGTAATTTAAAGATACATTTGGTTCCGTACGAAGTCTTCAGGTGAGCTGTCAATGACGGGAGCAAGCTATATCACATAAACAAATGTAACTTTTAATCACCTCTTGCCAGTAGTAATTGACATTACGATCACAGTAGGAAGTTATTGTGTCAAATCCCAGCTACGTAAATCTTCCATGTGTCTCGTTAATGTATTTAAATGATTCTGAGACATCGGTTTTTGTACGAGCTATTAGAATTATAGAGTACGAGTGTCCTGTGTTTATATTTGTGTATTATACAAACATTGCATGAAAGATGTGTGCTATTGTTGTAGATTTAGATGATAAGATATACTTACGTTTGAGCTCTGATTAATCTTCTACCTTTTCTTTATATTTCCGAACCCCCCTCATACACACTGCCTTTTTGTGGTATAGGCTGTGCTTTCATATTTCAGAAGTAATAGCTAAGTGTGATCCATCTACCAACTGCATTCATATAATTTCATCTTCTTTTCTTATCCTAACACACCAGACTTTGACAAATTTAACAAAAAACTTGTATACCCCACCAATTTTGTGATTCAATGTGGTAAGGTCATTTCCCGTCAGCTAGGTAGAATGGTTAAGGCATAAACTTTTTCCGTAAGTATAAACATGGTTTTGGGAGACTGTCGTACTGATCAAATAACAAATATAAAGTATTTATAATTCGAATTAGCTTTATGTGGTAAAATAAGAATAAGACTAGTTTTCAAACGGCCATCGTAAAACATTTTTTATTGCCTTACCACATGGATTAACAAAGTACAATAGATGAAGTAAATGCACTTGTAAGTAAGAGCAGATATTTGTACCTTATATAAAACATAACCTTGTAGATGCATAGAATGACGACAACCTTTCAGAAAATGAATGCATTTAGGTATATCAGTGACTTATAGATATATTCGCAGATGTTACTAGATTGTTGTTGTATGTGCATGCAAATTTTTTGTAATTCATATTTTGTATTTAGTCAGTGGCCTAACACAGTTATTATCCAAATTAATTTTGGTAGAAACTTTATAAACGGTATTCATAAACATCTTGTTAAGTAAAAAAAAATATAAACAAAAAAAGCATTGAAAAGCTATTATAAGTTATGTAAAGTTGTAGGCATTTAAATTTAAAATGATGTAATAGCTTTATAATTATGACTTGATAAATAATGGATGCATGCACTCGTGCAATGCCTATTAGTTTTTGTACTGTTTTTCATTTTGTTATGCCATTGGATTGGAATGTATTTTCTATGGAAATGTGCTCACAAAGAAATTTACTCTTTTTCCAGGCAGTGTTAACATATAAAGGTGATAGAATTTACTATAGGAGAATAATAACAAATGTGTTTTTTTATTCATCTCTGTATATCTTTGCACTACTCTTTAAACTAATTTTTGTCTTACCTTTGGTCTCTTCGTGTATGTATAAATCGGACCAAACAGTTTAGAACAAGGTATCTTTTTAGAGTAGAACATTCAATATTTGTAATATATACATGCTTCTTGTAAACTGTAACTTCTTATTTATATGTTAAATTCCTTAAGAAAATATAGTAAATTTAAAAATTCCGATGT